CGCTCCTTAGGCTTCGTGTAAGTAGTGTTAACCCTCTTTCATGCTAACAATGCAAGTAACTTAATGTGCTACAGCCATTTTTTAGTCTAGTGCGCTTCAAGCTTAGTCTAGTAGCAAATGAATTTGTGACAAATGCTAGATACAGTACTTTCATACAAATATATTCATTTTTAATAATGACAAACTAAAATGCCAGTTTACAACTAGTCATAGTCGAATGAAACTATAGCCTTGTTTATGTCCTATAAAAGACGTTATAGCATAAAATCAGTTGCCATTTAAAATTGGTGATAGAGTGAAAGGATAAAAAATAAATAGAAATTCACATTTAGTGCACACTGGTTTTTTTTATATTTTTTCCGATTTATTAACCGACCAGCATTCCATTGCTAAAAAGATTAGGTATAATATAAGAAACAAAATAGTATTGTTGATTACATTAATATAGGTATAGGTCAGCTATGCCCCTCAGGCACTAATCGTCACTGTTTTAGCAGGTCGGGCTCTAAAGGCGCTGTCCACTAATGAAATGCACACTAGTGGTGGAAATTATTTTATTATAAACCTGGCTCATCTTTAACATGGCAATGGAATGCCTAGTTGCATCTATAGTCGCATTGAGTCATATGAAAGTAACAGTAACCTAGTGCTATGTGTGTCACAGGTGTTTTGTCGTTTACTCAGCTCTAGGATGATGTCAGTTACGTTATTGTGTTGCTCTATAACATGTACTCCATCACACTGGCTGTAATATTCTTCTCGTCCATCGTAAGTGCTTGTTTCTCTATGTTACTTAGTTTTGAGGTTGAAAAGATCAGTTTAGTAGCTTAATTCAGTGGAACCTCGATAGCAAGTCTCTCATATGAGTGAATAAGGCTTATTATCAAGGTAGAATTCTATCGAGGTTTACAATAACATGTCAATAGGAGTGATGTAATGAAGGATATTTTTAAAATTACTTTTCTGAACAAGGATGACTTACTGTTGTTGGTTTTGTTATTGAGGTCCATTGACACTCTTTCAAATGGAATAACAACTAGTAATCATAAAACGACAACCTACTCAACAATACGAATTTATTGTTCTCATGTTGTGTGTGAAAAAACGTGCTTTGTGTGTGATGTTTTATGATCACTCGCTCAAGTAGATAACTGTGCGCTAAGATTTAAGTATTTTTGGTGCTTTAAATATTTCGGGGTCCTCCTTTATTTGATTAGAAATCAAACTACTTAAAGTTAGTTGATTTTGACTTAAATCTTACCATGTGACAAAAGGCGCTGTTAAATATATATTCCTACCGCTGCATGGAAATTGTCAAATTGACATACCTGTTAACAGTACGCAAAATAGGTCATTGCTGCTCTAGAGCAGGAATGGACCATTCCCGTTTGCTAAATCAGCTGATTTCATAGTTGTTGTTTCTAGAGCAATCACACCCACGGATCCGTTTAGTTAAAAACCGGTAAGAAACAACACCACCCTTAAAAAAATAATCCAAATTTCATTGTATATACATCTAAGAAGTTAATCAGTGTGTTATCATAAGTTTATTATGGTGGTAGGTAAAATCTTGTTGTGATTCGATAGTTCACCTTCCCATTCCTGAGAAAGTCAAGACCCAAATAAACCAGGATAATTTCACAGCTTGACTTACTCAGTAAAAAATGTAAACACAAGGAAACCTATTTTCAATCTACATTAAGTTTCATTCATATTTTGGTAAAAATGTGCACAGTGGCCACATATTTAATCATCAATTTCAATCAATTTATTATTATCAATCAATTATCTATTAATACTGAAAAAGTAATAATATATAGCTTCTCGTATAACCTGTTTTATCTTTCTGAACAACAATTACGTTTTTATAAAATATATAAAATTCCAAAAAGAGAAGATTTTACTCCTATATATATATTTTCAACCACATTAACACCCCACTTATTTTCTAGCAGCTCGCCCCATCGTGTTGTGTAGGATCTGATGAAGATTCAAAGGAGACCCCAACCAATGCGTCCACCACGGAATGCGAGCCTCTACTAGGGTCGGTCATTCGACAGGTCGACTCCGCCGGTCAGGTGCTTCTGGACGTCTACAAAACTCTCCTTGATCCTCTGGGCATCCTCCTGAACGTTCCCCAGAAACCTCCGGAACCTGCCAAGGTGGAGGGTACAGCTGACGATAACAATCATAAAAGAGGCTAAAGCGAAAGTGTGAATACATTTGCTGGAGTCATGAGAATAGGTACATAATTTTGTATTGACAATTGTGATACAAGTGCGAAGGTGTGAAGATTGTATATAAAACAATTAGTTTGAATTAAGCTAATACTAAGACATTAGAGAATAATTTAGAATACGCAAGGAGACCAGTAAATATTTTAATTAAGATCAAATATGCATGTTTTAAGAACTAATAATTTACGTGGCCTCCTTGTTTCAAAAGGAATTTATTATTTCAATAGTTCTTATAATATAGATAATATTTTACGTGTTTAACCCTATTGCTATAAATCTATTATAAATCGCGTAGGAATATTATTACAAGAACAATAAAACACTATCCAACATTAAAAACTAATAGTATTTCCATACCTATTATATTAGTACAACCTGCTAAATCTATTAGTCGTTGTGAAAATAATTCTTTAACAGATATTGATTTGTGTCATGTAACAGGACTCTATAGTATAGAATACAAGATATTTTGTGAATACTGAACGCTCTATCTTATTTTCGATTTAGTTTTTTAATCAACAAAAGAATATATCTTCCTAAATGGACAACATATTAACCAACAATGTATGTTAGTTTATCATATTTATTTATACATACCTAAAACATAGAGTATATCTACATCAGAATTATTTATCATTGATCAAAATATCGTCAGCGTTTTCGAAATTCACTGGATGAGTAATTGTTGAAGGTACAAATGTTTGAGCTATCAAATCTGATGGTGGACATGTGGAGGCGAGATCATTTGTCATACCTGAGCACAGAGTTTTGACTGGACAACAGTCATGAGTGATTACCCTCTGATACGTTCCAATAATGTTGTCACTGCTCACTGCTCAGCCTTTACAACGGCTTTCGAGGTATCATTGTCTTCAGAGAAATATAAATAAAAATACCCCCGCCGCAGCAAACCTGCAGACTAAGCGAATTTCCATTTGCCTGATTGGATTTACACTAAAATGTCTCCTTAAAAATATTACATTTATTCCCTATTTAAATAGCATTAGTTTAACGAGTACTTAGGTTTGCTACAACAGGGTGGCAAAAAAGTGTTTTTTTGTAAAATTTTAATAGTTTAGTATGACCGCATTTTCCAAATTTGATCAAAATATTCTCATAAGCAAGCAAACTACAACAGTTTAAAATTTTTTCCATAAGAAAAACATGAGAATTTTAAATTCAACATTTTTTTAATTTTTTTCGTAGCCATTAGGCGCATAATAACGCTTTAATACACTAAATTATTTTTTTTTAAGCTTTACAAAATGGTTTGGAAAGAAGTTGCTAAATTTTATGTTTTTACGGTCAAAAATGTGAAAAACCTATTTTGACCCCATAAAATCCCCCATAAACCCCTCTTCCCATAGTCCGATCATGCTGGTTCGTGAACTCGTTCGAATAAACGTAGGTTTACACGTTTGTACCAAATTTCATAAAAATCGGATGATTTTTGCTCGAGTTATCGCGCTAACGGTCACATATATAAGAATAGGGACCTCGAAACGAAAAAGTAAATCGGTCCCGGGTCCAGGTCTTACCATGAGTACTACGGTAATAGCTTATTCCCTATATGCAAATTCGCTAAAATAAAGTTAAAAGAGATACCATCTGTGCTAATGTACTGTAGCATTATCGCATGCCTCGATGGTAGACTGGTCTGCAAAACGTAAAGTTAATCTTTTTATAAAATATGTCTAATTTAAAATTTTTAGATGGGTTCCATTGCTTAAGGTCTGCTCTGTACTACAGAGTCACGAAATATTGAAAGGATAATTTTTATCGCTAAATGGTGCGATTTGATCCCCAAAACAAAGCTAAATAATACCTGTGATCTGCAAGATTTAAACTAGGGCCTTATAGGAGACTAAACTTGTCCTCACCAGCCGTGCATAGTTCAGCAGTAAAATAGTGGATTTGTATGTCAGCACTATCTCACACTATATAAAGACAGACATATATTTAAAGGACTTAAGATTTAATTCTTGTATTGGTTAACTACACACCAGAATTATTACACACCAGAAACCTAAACGGATGATACGGCGTAACGAGCTATCTAAAAATACCATAAATAATAAAATGGCGAACAAGAGTACTTTAACTGTAGACAGAACATTTTCCATCGCTAAAAAACTCACAGACTATATAGTAACAGTTTTTGGGGGCTAATAATAATATAATCTAAGGCCTTTTCTTCTTTTTTTCTTTCTAAGGTCGCTAGGCACGAGCCTGGAATTGTTGTTCACATTACTTCATGCTAGACCTACGGGTTACGGCATTAGATAACATGTATTGGTGATTTGAACCCAGAACCCCAGGACCCGCGCTCTAACCACTAGACCAGCTCGTTTCCCCAATCTGAGGCCCTTGGGTTTACTGTAACTAGTAATAGTACAACAAGTTATTACACGTTATGAAAATATTAAACATTGTTAGTGAATTAAAGTTTATATAGTTATAAACTAAATAACAGTCATCTAAAGATATTTTTCTTACCCCAAGCAAATCAAGATTTTCACCTACAGGTTTATAGTCACCAACAATATAAATAAACACTAAAATTGAAGGTAATATTTCGCCACTGCATCTAATGAATCCCATAGCGACTGTGTGAATAAAATTTTAAATAAGTTGTGGAAAAAAAACTTACATCATTGGAAACTGGATTGGTATTAGCTGTCTAATTGGTCAATTTGTAAATTCCAAACATCATCGTTCATCAGACATCATAACTCTGGATACCAAATGTATTTCACCGAGAGTTGGGCGCGTCTAGATCGTATATTCGTTACTAGTGCGCTCTAATGTAGGTCACAGCTGGTTCTCATGTGTTCATTTATTTATCATAGTTTGGCACTACTCGTAACAATGTCATCTCTATTGGTAAGTATTATACTACAGAAATAATGTAACTATAAAGTAGCTATAATATAAATGAATAAAAGAATCGTTCCCAGCGTTGTTTAAAGCAAATCGTTTAGATTATGTAACAACATAGTGTTTAATCGGTGAAGGTAAATAAATATTAACCATAATCGCACATTTTATTTTGATCTAAGTTTAGCTATTGTTGATTGATTTAGTTTTGGGTTATTGTTCATGGTAGTTTGTAGCTTGAGTATTTACAATTTATATTGAATTAAAAATAGTTTAGGTGTATTCGGTGTTATTTAATTGATTTAATTGATGCTATTGTTTTTATTGGTCGTGGTTGTATAGTTCATGCCTTAATAATAAAATAAATATCAATATAATAAAAATATCTTTCGCAAAGTGAACTGTTTTTGTGGTGAAGTGGTTTTAAGTGCATAATGTTTAAACCCGCATAGTTTAAAAAGCGTAAATAAAATGATTAGTTCTGCAAAAACTTCAAATACCTTAAAATTATAATGTTTTTAGGAAAGGATATCATCATGTGAGCTTGACAATGGTACATTATGCCCAACTGAAGACCTTAACGAAGACAACGCCACGAGTAATAACCCTAATAAGAAACCAGCTTCGGCATCTTGTAATCCAATATTAAATACAATACAAAAGTTGGATGATATTGGGCAAAAAATACTAGAAGTAATAGACCCTTTGAATATATTGTCCGCACCTTTAACAGCACTTCAGAATTTAGGTTATGAAGATGTCTCGAGTACTGGAAGTAAAACTGGAAATATAGGAGGGCCAGGTTCAACAGAATCGAAACCAGGAGTTAAAAAAGGAACAAGGGATCCATCAAAGTATCAGATAAACAATCCGTCAGACAAGCCAGAAACTGATTTAGACAGTTCCAATGCTCAAGTTCAATCATCTCAAAAACAGCCTGTAGAAGAAACAATGCATTTAGAAGCATCTTCTGATACAGGAACTTCAGCCTCTACTAATCCATTACCAACAGTACCATCTTCTGCACCGTTTTCCTCTGCGTCAAAGGTTTCATCTGTTGATCCCTCTACGAGTCTATCAGGTACTTCAGATTCGTCAGCAGTAATTCCTTCTTCAACATCATCACCTGCCACATCACAATCTCCTACTGAATCAATACCGGTCACTTCTCCTTCAACAATAAAACCAGCAGATTCTCCATCAAAATTAGAACCAGCAAATTCTCCTCCAGAAGAAACACCAGCTAGTTCTTCCACAGAACCGACACCAGCAAAATCTCCTGCTGAGACGAAACCAAACGGTTCTTCTTCAGAGACAAAACCAAGCGATTCTCCTGCAGAATCAATAATTGCAAATTCTCCCCCAGAATCCAAACCAGCTAGTTCTCCCAAAGAACCAACACCAGCTAGTTCTTCTACACAGTCAACACCAGCCAAACCTCCTGCTGAGACAAAACCAAAAGATTCTTCTGCACAATCAAAACCAAGCGATTCTCCTGCAGAATCAACAATAGCAAATTCGCCCTCAGAATCCAAACCAGCTAGTTCTCCCAAAGAATCAACACCAGCTAGTTCTCCTACACAATCAACACCAGCAAAATCTCCTGCTGAAACAAAACCAAAAGATTCTCCTGCACAATTAAAACCAAGCGATTCTCCTGCAGAAGCAACAATAGCAAATTCTCCCCCAGAATCCAAACCAGCTAGTTCTCCCAAAGAATCAACACCAGCCAAATCTCCTGCTGAGACAAAACCAAACGGTTCTTCTTCAGAGACAAAACCAACCGATTCTGCTGTAGATGTAACACCTACAGGCTCAACATCAAATACTCCCTCAACACCAGTATCTACACCCAAAACAAACTCTGAACCATCTAAATCAGAGAACTCAACTACTGAATCTAAAAACTCCCCTGCAGAATCTTCACAGGCAGCGCCTACAAAGTCTTCTACTCCAGAATCCCCTGCCAAACAATTGTCTTCTACAGGAAGCTCTTCGCCTTCTAAGGAGTCTACTTCGCCTGCAGAGTCTTCAATTAAAACACCTGCCCCGAAATAAAACGTTTTAGTTCAAAGCTTCACAGATAAACGAGCAAGACAGTGGAGACAATAATAGGGTAGTGAAGGGTCCTGAAAGTAGTGTAAGGCTTATTGGCTTAAAGTGCTGCCATTGAGTGATTAACATGCAACCGGGTACGTTCGTTTGTGGTGTATTCGACAATCCCTCTTTTGTGATTATTGATATTATGGTATGACTTGATACTTGTGAAAACCATTCAACATAATCACGTGAAAAGGTAATATTAACATAATTAATTAAGCTAAATTTTTGGTAGTTTTGCATGGTAGAGGTTAGCTGTAAGAAAGGACCATAGAGTCATAAGTTAGCCTCAATAAAGAAGATGTTTATTTTTGAAAACTGTGGTAAAAGTGCCAAACCACTTTACATTCTTTTTTTCTCGATTTATTACCCCGTCAAAACATATTCAAAGACTTCTTCGCAGGTCTTCATAGGCAAGTAGTACGTATAAACTGTAGATACAAGGTAAATTATGTATCGAAATAGACATACAAAACCCAAATGGCCTAATTTACAATTTAAAAATATTCTTATAACAGTTTACGTAATAAAGAGTTTTCTCTATACACGATTATAACTATATGTCATATGTATGTATATGTTTCAACATAAACTGCCCCTACTGCTGTTTTTAATATATTCTTTTAACATATTTGAAAAGAACAACCGTGCGACCATGAAAATATCGTTAATAAGCAACACATTAAACCTTGGGTCCAAGTTAAAATCCAGCCAATTACCGATGCATTTTTCTTTACAAAAAGTTGATGCGGTACCTGTTAGAAAACCAGTATAAAGAACCTAGATATGAAAGAAACTTACAGTGTCAAGGGCAGCCATTACACACAAAAAGATGCCCACTATAATCTACCAAACCAGAAGTAAACTTTAGTTTGTTATCATAGAGGAGAATTACTCTATAACTTAATCTATATTGAACGGTTGCCAAAATTTATGCTCCAGACTACTTTATCGCGTCATACACCAGCATGATGCTCTATCATTGGATATCAGATTGTTTATGTTTATGTAGGCTAACCCCAGCCCCCGGTCGTAAGTTATAATCGTTTTGGGCCTTATAATGACTGGATAATAGTGGTTTACTATAATGACATGCAGATTCGAATTGGTCATGTCACTGTCATAATTCAATATCGTCATTAATCGGGTGGAATTACACACGGATTGTGATGATGGTTTTCTGTGCTCGCGGGTAAAATGGGGAACTTTTGAAGCCTAAAAATATTTTAATAGTTATGTGGTAACTTATATTGGAAATAAACAATGAAATGTATAACAAAATTTAAAGGTCAATATATAATAAATTGTTTTAAACAAAAGCGCTTTCGGAAACTAGGTTTCCTAAAGCTCTTGTGATTAAAACTATTTATTATATATTGGCCTTTTTGAGCTTTTAAATTTAGTGATACATTTCATTAGCTATGTGGTATTGACAATTAATTATTTACAAGAAGATATGTTGTAAAACATTTAACAAATAAACATACCTGGATAATCTTAGATATTTACAGATTTTATAAAAAGTATAAGTAGTTCAGTGTTCGAAGGCGTATTTTAATGTCTTAATTTTACACACCTGATTATTAGGGTCCATAAAACTTGCCTATCTATAAAAAAAATGCACAATTTAATAATAAAATAAGAATACAGCGTTTTTGACTTTGCTTAACATGTTACCCACCATTCTATTTAATTTCAATTTTACCTTAGGCATACTGAATGTTGAATATTAGCTCTGGTAGGCAAAACGTGATAATAACAGAGCTTTGAATGGGAAGAAAAATAATTTATTTAAAAAAGCAGAACAAACTAAAATAACGACTTTTTTACTTTTAGTCAAAATCAAACAGAAAAATACAAAGTGATAAGTTTATCATTATCCACTCAATAAACTTCACCAGTGACAGCCTAATCGTGCATTCAAGGCTTAATACGAGGGCTTATATTATCATCAGTTTAAAACCATAAGTGACCCTTAGTAGTAAAAAAACGTCACTTTTAAAGTACGTACTGTGTATAAATGTTTTATTCCATTTTAAAGTCGCTTTAAAGGCTTCGTCAGCATCATTATTTTTACGCAAGACATATTGAATGATTTTAGAGAAGTAAAAAGCTAACATCTCCTACGGCGAATGTGTCTAATGAATAATTTAACAACCTTCTATTCTGTAAATGAAAACCTGGGAATTAATTAACGAAATCCGTACCTTACACAGCTCGATCCCTCATTACTGCTTGGTATTTCTATCGTGCTAAAACAATCTTTATCAACTTTACATATATAGAATAGCTAATTCAAAAATAAAACTTTTAATTTGGCTTTTTGTGAATACATTCGATTTTACATGCTATTCTTTCTTGATTACTAGCATTGACTATTGGATATAGAAGTTGTTGTATAGTCAAAGATACTAGCTAAACAACCAAAATTTTACTTTTCACAAAATTATTTTATTTTATAGTGAAAGTAGTAAAATTGTAAAATTCTTATACATTATCAACAGAAATTTTTTACACTTTATAGTTCCCGTGTATTGTGTGACTTCTTAGTAAAGATTGTTGCTTCGCTGTCTCTCAGGCGCTACCCAACTCTATCGTTGGCACAAAAATGACACAATTTTATTATGTACTTAGTTTATTTAATTATTACACTCTAAGTTCTCTACTCTAAGCTATTGGCGTATTTTATTAATCGTGTGGAATTAATAACCTCACTCACGATCGTATATGTATGCTTAATTAACTGTATTTAAAACTTCCTAATTTTATGTATTAGCCTATTTAATACATAGACTATGCAATTGTGGTATCATAATTAAATTAAAATTTTTCCGAATAAAAAGTGTCCGAAAATATTTTTTTTAATGATTCTTTGGGTTTAAAACCAAACTTTGATAAAATTTCGGCATATATTCGTCAACATATAATCGTCAAGAAATTTTCCTAGGATATTATAAAGTGATGATACTGAACACAATTAGGTTTATTTGATCTTAAAAGTACATAACTGTCATTAACTTAATTGCATTAATATTTCTTCTTGGTAAAACTAATAAGTTGCGTTTATATACTTCCAATGTAGGTACTTCAAATATAGGTACACTATTGTTATAAAATATTAAATATTTTTTTAATATGCAACAAATATAAATAAATAACTTCTTATGCTTTATTGAAAGTATATTAGTTAAATAATCAACTGATTTTCATTATCATTTGAGCTTAGTCCTCTACCTGCAATTCTAGAAAACTATGAAATTGATTCAATGTTTTCCAAAAAATATCTTTGATGAATTTCAATGTATTAAAATTATAAAGGGATAAAGAATTCGTTGAAAACTCCAATTGGTTGTATAATAAATTTACCTTTTGTAGCAAAAACTAAAAATATGTTCTTATATGTGTAACGTGATCATAAGTAATAAGCTGACCACTTTTTGGAACTCTGACTATAGACCCATTCATATAAAATACTAAGGAACGTAAATAGTAAAAACTAAAATTTTGCTGATAATCTAAACATTTGTTAAACTACGATGTCTGTTAAGTTTCTTCACTTAACCACAGAGTACACAAGGTCTTATTGATTGTCGTGAGTCCCTACAGTTGTAATCCTACACATTGTCATTGCCATGTGTTGTCCAAGTCACCCTCCAGAAGTGAATTGCTCATAACTCCACCTCAAGACAGACTCAACTTTAATTTCCGTCCTTTCCCTCCAGATAGGATGATAAATGAATCAGGGGGTTGACGGAAACCAGCCACACTCCGGCCACACCGTCATAGCAACCAACCGTACACATTTGTTAATACGGAGAGTTTGATGTGTAGCAACGTTAAACAATCATGAAATCCTATAATTTTTGTTAGCGATATTTCTAATACAGGGTTGTTCAGAGTTGGCATAGACAAATATAATGAACATAGACTGACTTCAGGGTTGCGGTTAACATAAAATGTTCCGGCGCCCACCGCTATGAGTGTCGTGTAGTTACGGCGCACACCGCTGTAGCGTCTGCTGGTAGCATACTTTGTGCACTGTAACTACACGGCACTCCTAGCGGTGGACGCCGGAAGCTTCCTTTGACAGTCTATATTATTATTCTTATTGTCTATGAATGTGATTAGGGGATGAAGTTTACCAAACCTCCCTACTTTACGCCTCGGGAACAACGTACTAGTCATAAGTATTCATAAGTGTATTTTGAACAAAGGTATAATGTTTAAACACGAATCCTCCTAAACCTAAAGTGCCCTTAATGATCAAATCACCTTTATTTTATGTAAGAGAGAAATTTGAGAAGAGAACCTTCTTTTTCAAGGCATGCAAATAAAACACTTAAAGTGATTTCAAAACTTCCACGTCATGCCATTAGAGCTGACAAAAATTTGTGATTAGTGGGATATGAACTCGGGACTTCGTAGTAGACATCCAAAGGTATTACTACAAGAATATCCCCGCTTGGAAAAACTACGTAAATACTGGTGTATAAGGTTATTCATTGAAAAACTCAAAAAAGGAATATTGTTATGCATACAATGTTAGAAACCCGTGAGTTAAGAAATAATTATTTCCAACACCCGAATGTCCACCTAATTTTGATAAAATATAAAATAAACGGCAATGAAATAACATAAATCCAAAAATACCTTGTCAGGAGTGGCAACTTTTAAAATCACAATTTGTTGTTTTAAATCTGAATTAGGTTTACTAAATACTCTGGTTTTTTAAACTGCACGTTTTGTCATATTATCCAGGAATTGCACACCAAATCCCCCAACCGGAACGGCAAACACCGTGAAACGCTGCGCAAACAGGCGGCTTAACAGAATGAAAACAACATTAGGCCTAAAACTGTTGTGACTGCTACGACTAAGCTGTAAAGTAGCGCCTAGGGCGTCAAAAGGGTTGCCATTCAAAACACCATTACAGTACCACCATGAAGCTTTCCCCCATGGGAGAAAATAATTGAAGTTGTACATATTTTAAAATTGTTGTGTTGGTGTTTGTAAATAAAACCAACAATTTTTACATGCATGTCTAACGTATTTGGTAAATGAATAAAATTTGTAATTGTTATCGAATGTTTGTGTTTGCTATGTCTTTTACTGTACGGTTTTCGTAGTCCATAACAAGGTTGAAGAACAACTGGGAGGGTGGTAGTGATGAATAATCTACACTATAAATGAATAACAGAAAGGTGTAGGGTATGAAAAATACGTAAATTACCAGAGTCGAATCCAGTTTGGTATGCTCTTTTGCTATTCAGACTAGCCAATAAAATACTGAAATAATTAATAAGTTAAACTCAAATGGTTGGGGGAGTGAGCTGGTCTAGTGGTTAGAGCGCAAGACTCCAGTTCCTGGGGTCTCGAGTTCAAGTCCTGCCAAATCACCAATGGATGTTTCTAAGTGATTATGCCGTAACCCCTATTTCAAGCCAGAAGTAATGTGAAAAACAATTCGGGGCTCGTGCCTAGCGTCCTAGGGAAAAAAACTCAAACGGTCGATTTATTTTTTGAGGTTTCATTTACAGGAATTATGAAAAATATATCTTAGTTTGAGATCTATAAACTGTTTGTATTATTGTTGAAGCATTCATATAAGTGTTATTTGCCATTTTCAGCTAGGTGACGACTTATATTTTTTAGTAACCTTTGTTAATTTCACTGAGCCAATATTTATTCACACATTATAAAATCTTGGGCATAGCTAGGCGAGCTTTTAGAGCACCGGAGTTCAGTTATCGTTAATCGTAGAAGGTATAATGCAGTGGTTCGATATCCACTAAGATTTAATCTAACGTACCGTTTTAAAAAATACCTAAATAAAAATTTCAGACCTTGAGTCAGGATGGATTTCTATCTACTACAAACCTATCTCCACTAAATATCCCTATACGAATTATAATGCTGTTGGGTTGTAAATAAGCTTTGGCTCATACAACATTAAAAAGAGTATAAAACAAAATACTTTGTATGATAGTTGATATCCAATTTATGCTGATTGAGAACACTGATATATAACGAGGAAAAGGTGACACAATACTACTTTTAAACTCAGAAACAACCTCAATAATCAAGACGACTTGTTTCTTACCCTATAATTTCAACTAGTTCTCTATTCAGACCGTTTCACCCAAATACAAACAGTGAGTGAATAGAAGACAAAACTTCAGAAAAAATAACCCAAGACATCAATTGTCACGCCCCTTACTTTCGCAGAAGATAAATAAAATCTTCAGATGAATAATGGAAGTTGTCGAGCGCACGCACCTGTTTTTTTCTTCCTCTTCGTAATTACAGCTGTCCAAGCCTCCATTGTATCTTCTTAAATTAATGATTGAGGAAAACAATCCCCTATTACTATGTTTTTTTTTTTCTGCAGCTGTTAAGTTACTATTATTGAGTCCATTGAAACTAGTTGCTCTGACTGCACTCCGCAACGGGATGAAAATAGAGTAGGAAATAATGTGGTTGTACTGAAAACACAGTGACACCCATCATAGTTCAAAGAGGCAAAACTCAATCGTACTTTTTAGTTATCTTAATGCAAATATTTTTGGTGAATGTAATTTGCAATATATCGCGACAATAATAGAAAATATGTATTATAGTTTCAATTCAATTATCAATTATTAATTATTTAAGATGGGAACACCACTAGGTGCGTATTTTAACCCAAATATGAGTGAAGGATGAGTGGTGCGATCTTGTAGTCTTGTTAGTGAAGGCTGTCATATTTCTTAGACACTACTGTTAATTATAGCTCAAACAGCTAATGGCAACTAAGGGGCCTACTATAGTGGAATCAGGAATAAATTATATGTGGGAAGTTACTCATCAAGGCCTTACATATGAGTATGTGGTTGATATATGTGTGTCTTACAGTTGTCTTAAACGTCCGTGTTCCTTATTAGCTATATACATAGATATCAGAGAGCACAGCTCTCTGATAGATATATATTCATTCAGTTATGAATTTTAGAACTAGTATGGCAATGTTTTTGATTTGTATATAGAGAAGTTTTTGATAGTCTGAAAGGACACGTATGTAACTTTTTAAAATTTTAACCTTAATAACCATTGACGCATTTTCGGTATTTACTTTTTTCTTTTAGATTATTTTTGATGCTCAACAGGGTATTATTTTGTTTATTTACATTCCCGATTGTCCTACAAAAATTACCTAAGCAAAATAAACCAAGACAAAGATTGCTTACAAAAGAAGGATTTGCAAAGGAAGGTGCAAGATACGATTTGTCATGACTCTCCCCCAAGTACAACGAAATGAATAAAACCTCAAGATGAATAAATGAGGAGTGTCACTTACACGCTACCAACCCCCTCCCTCCCACCGCCCCTACCAACTCCTCTTCACCTCTTACTCAGACTCTTGTTAAGGCTGTCCCAACACTGACAGTTGCCACTCATATTTTATGTCGCCAATTTATTCTTGATTTTCATGCACCAAGAACGCTTTGAATATTATTTTAGGTTTGGTTTCATCAACATTTTGAGCTTTCAGAAAAACTAGGCAGTGATATGATTATTAAAAAAATAGGAATCTGTATTTTGTTACTAAGCAAATACTATTGTTTCCATCTTTAAATAACCTCAAATACATTGCAATTTCTTAAAAGATCAATTTACTACTTATCATTTCACTGTTTCAATCATATCAATTTACTCTAGGAGTGTTGAAATTTAACTTGAACATAAAAGTATGTAAAAATCTAATTTTATTGCTATTATATAAGAAAATGAAAGGAAGTGTATAGGACTATTGGTGAACTAGAAAAAAGAATGTAAAGATTTAAGTTTCACTCGGTCAGGTCTAAGATTGCGCAGGTACAGTAATATTGGTCGTAATAATTGAAACTAAACCCATATATAGACCAAAACATATTATTTAGGTCGAGGATTCCAGCTAATCTTTACCAGAAATGTTTACAAATTTATGGCTCCCAATGTCATGTTTCTTAATAACTAACAACAAAAAACATATACAGTAGGTTGGACATCGTCACTAATATATAAAATTCATTAAATAAACGTAAAGCAATTTTATTTGCTGCAATTTTAAAAGACAACATTACAATATATAAATAAAAACATCTCATGTGCGTAATTAGTGTCCTCACTGGATGCATTGATGAGTCGAATTTAGTATTAATATAAACAAAGAATATTACTTCTTCTTAGTCTGCAGTAAATAAATACATCTTTATAGGCAGGATAATGATGCTTAGGATATGGTCAGTAATCTAGTGGATTTAGTTACATTTAGCTAATCTAGAAATGCTCTTCACACTGTAGTTGTGATATATTTATTAACTCAATTTATGGCTACTAGTGGTTATAAGTATAGGTGAATTGTTGACTGTAGGTGAAATTAACAAAGTATGAAGATAAAGTATGAAGTAAAGAGTTTGCTTTAGTTTTGGAAAAATATTAACAATATTCTTGGATGGGAAAATGTGCTAGGAAAAAGGTATCTTTAAAAACAAACTCAAACAAAATATAAATATTGCAATATATATAAACATTGTGTTTGACAATGATTAAAAATGGTGACCATTCAACACAAATGATAATGTAACTCAGGTTCTTGTTTGTTAAATATTTTATTTGCCTTGAGGTTGAGTTTGAGGTTGTGCTTGACCTTGTGGTGCTGCAGGAGCTTGGCCTGCAGTTGCTGGAGTTTGTACTGGATTTTGTTGAGCTGGAGCCTGTTGAGCTGGAGCCTGTTGAGCTGGAGTCTGTTGAACTGGAGTCTGTTGAGCTGGAGTCTGTTGAACTGGAGACTGTTGGGGAGAAGGTTGTTGGGGTGAAGGTTGTTGAACCGAAGTTTGTTGGCCAGGAACTTGTTGTCCTGGAGCTTGCCCTGGATTTTGAGCTACCCCAGGAGCCACAGATTGACCTGGAACCCCTTGCTGGCCTTGAGCAGCTGCTTGCAAGGATGCAAGAAGATTCTGTAGAGGACCAGCTTGAGCTGGAGGTATCTGACCAGAGTTCTGCTGATTCAATGTCTGAGTCAGAGCGGTGATCAACAACTGTAAATCTGTACGCTTCTTCTGTATGAAGGCTTGTAACAGCGGCCACAATACTGGGGATGAATTTTGTGGTTGGCCAGGGGTCGTTGTTTGGGGCTGGGTGGTCGGAGCGGCAACAGCGGTAGCGGCGGGGCGTCTTTGAAAGGCGAATTTGAGAAATGGGCTACCACTACATACCTGGAACATATTTCATTATGACAGAAAAAAGTCTTTTGCAAAAAAATTTAAGTAGTCTCATATATGCATTAGAAATGCATTTAACTTACAAGACTTCGTATTTCATCTTAGATAAATATTACTTTGCAAAATTAACACTATTTCATTCTTTATAAATGATTATGTGAAAGCATAGAGCCGGAAACAAGTTTCATATTACAATCCAGTGAATCATTGAAATTTACGGTGAGATAGTATTTGATAATTTTAAAATAAATGTGGAGACTTTTTGATCAATTCATTTGAGAAGTGTGAAAGAAAAAATTATTTATTCCTAGTATAATAGACCCTTTACTAGATGTTCTGTTAATGGAAAATTGGAATACATATATTTAATAAACATTATTTTAAGTACTACGCAAACAAGGTAGAGTTTGAATAAAAGTGGAAAAAATTACTCGTGTCTCCTACTGAATAAAATTGAATTGAAATGTAATTAAAATAATAACAATTTCAAATAAAAGATAATACAATAAATTACCTGCAAGTAAATTAACATGCAGACAATGCACAATCTACAGAGTGCAGCCATGATGAGGAGTAGTCACAGAAAGTGTTACAACGGAGATACTGTAATGTTGACGACACTGAGGTGTTGACTTAGGTTATGTGATTGACGTGAGAAACATTGTCAAACATCTTCAGATATCGAGACATGTGCAGCTTGTTTTCCTGACCTCCTTTCAATGATCGACACCCAAGGTTTTTGTGTGTATACGTAAAATGGCTTAAAACTCTGCATAAAGTAATATTTTGTTAATAAGGATTACCACGCAATCTTTGTGCACGTATTTAAACTATTTTGCGTACAAACCAGAAATCCGGAGATAAAAAACAAGGGTATGATTGTGTTTAACCTTTAATCAGTTCACAGTCTTCAAGCAGGGAACCGTTTATTAACATGACATTTTACTTCATGTCCCCTTGAACTTAGATAAGTTCTTAGATATTTCTATTGAAGCAAATTCAACTCCAACCAATGTTCACTCACTCAATTTTTTTTCAACCAATTCACCATTTTCATCATTTAACCATTTTCTTTTTCACCTAGTGTTTAGAAAGACATTTTCTGTTATTAGTTCAATTAGTGCAATCAAAGCCGGATAGGCAGCGTTCAGATCTGGGTAAAATATCTCCGTCCCTTTGGTCCCCAGCAACTCTTCCATTATAGCATAATTATTGGTAGCATATTAAATACGCTAAGTTTGGGTCAGACATAGCAACTCTCAAACCCATTCGTTTTCACCCATCATCACCACAATACCCCCAATACCCCCTATATTCCCACAAATACCCCATCATTCATTAATCCTAACCGATACAGTAAAAAATTTCCTTTAATGTCTGAAGTAGAATAAACTATACGGAAAATAGCTCAGTAGCTGAGTGCTTGAAGAGAAATTTAAAAGTAACAAATTTACAAAACAATGCCAAGAAAACATGTATCCTAATTTACACTTTTGAGCATCTGTATGGAAATGTAGTGTGTTTGGCAACTATAATGCATGTATTGATTGTTTCTATAGTAAAAGTAGTAATTTAAAAAAGGGTAATTTTATGTTATGTAACAGCATTCCTTACGTTTTACACAATACGAAACATATCTTATTTACTCTCAGGTAAAACACAAGCTTCACGAATTTTAAACTACCTAAAGTGGGAAGAGCTCTGGATCATGAAAAGATCAATGCAAGCTTGGTAAACCGAAGGAGAAGCAACGGTTAAAACAACTATTTCAAGCAGTGAATTGAAAAAGAGAAAAATATAAAGTCGAAAACGTAAACTTTAATACATCTGGTTTAACCGGGGACTTGAGCTTTGGATCTAGTAAATGGCTAGATCTAGTATATCTCCTTGATAATTGTTTGCTTAGTTAGAAAACAATCAAAGGTAAAGTTCATCAGGTCTCAAAGTAACAAAATGAAACTGTGTATTATAGCTCCAGAATACGGGTGTTATACATTATAATCAATCAATCCAGTAAGAAAATATATTTAAACTTTAGATTTATATTATTGTAACTCATTGATAATTATATTTATTTTTAATTGACGATGGTACACTGTGGTCTTAGTATTCTATCTGTTATGTTCATTTACTATATCGCCTGACCTTAGTCATACCATATATCAAGAATGAAATAGTAATTGATGATAAAATAAAAACTGCATCACAAAAATAGGCTGGCCTACGGAATTTTCTATTTACACAACGATTATTCTCCCCATGACACTTTCAACACCTATTTCATTTTGACAACTGAACCTGAACTTTGCCGATGTTATTTCAAGAGCGGCCCCCATATTTTGTACCCAACACTCCCCTATATTTCGCCAGTGACTGCACACCTCATTTGAGCTCCCATTAACACTCTTATGTGGATTTTAATTTCTGTCGTTTCCGTTCCATTTCCTTGGTTCCGGAAGTAGGGAGGACTGGCGGCACGTGCTACTCCCTCGCCTCGCAGCTGGTGGAATATTTGCGAATTTGGAATTCAAATGTGTTCCATTTTGGACACCTCCAATATCCACAAGAACCCTCTTTCTTTTATTCTTTTATGTGAAATTCCTTCGAATAAATAATAGATAATATACCGTAACTCTTTAAGGGCGTTTTTATCATTCTATCAGTTCCTTGTTGAAGTAGCGAACATACCGGTGGCAGTGAAAAAATACGTCTACACTTTTTAGTTTTCAACTACATCATTCACGGCGATTTAATGAGCTTCACGCTCAGGAATACTCAAATGTTGACGAAGTTCCCTCTGGGTACAGACTCTTTTTTCAGAAGGGTAGATCTACAGCAAAAGGTGGCCTTCAAACACGGAATGATCACGAAGCTAAGTAAAATTTATATTCATGTCAGAACAGAATGAATACTAGCTTTCTCACTATAACCAATTAGGTCGTTCACTAAAACACTACATAAGTAATTGACTTATGCTGTATTTGATGAACTGCTTATTTTACACTGTTACAATTGTAATTTTATCGAAACATTGAGATGGAATAAAATTTCAACAATACCTTAATTACCTTACCTAGCTGGCCACTCAAAACTAAGCAGGATTTTGGCCTCTCCAACAGCTCTGCGCCATCTTCTCGATCCTTCATCATCTCTTCTGTAAGCTGGGTTTTCCTAGACGCGTAGTCGGCCAGCGGAGAGAGGAACGCGGAGAGCGGACTCAGCTTGTCTTAGGTAATTTAATGTTAGGGCCCTTTCACACGAGGCCACTGGTGGCCGCCACCGGTGGCCGCCACTGGTTGCCCGCCACAGCTTTAACATTATTTTAAATGGGACCTTTCACACACAGCCACTGTAGTTGCCCGCCACTACACAGTGGCCGAGCAGTGTCTCCTCGCGCAACTGCTAGTTGGCAACCGCCGGCAACTGCAGTGGCGGCAACTCGTCGCGGGGCATTAAATTATACGGGAGCTTTCACACGTAGCAACCAGTGGCCGCCACCGTGGATGAGCGCGCAGCTACTATTTTGAATCAGTTCCTGTGCAGACTGCAAAGACAAACGCACTATGGTTGTAGTTGTTGAGTGTTTTCGTGTTGAATTGTTTGTTTGTGAAAATGAGTGACCAGAAGAAAAATAAAGAGGACGTTGCTGAAAAAGAAAAAGACAAAGGAAAACAACAGAAGAAGAGAATAAACAAAATAATAGAAAACAAAGTGGATACTGATGATCTAATTTGCGAAATTGAAAAGTAATCGGCTATTCGGTATAGTACGCCTGTGTCTTTGCCTTATTTTCTTTATTATCAACGCGAGAAGAAGGAGATATTCATTGTTCGACAGCATTTTCACAACTAACAGTACAGTGGCTGTAGTAGAGTGGCTTGTAAGTTGCCTGTACCATCCACTGCAGTTTCCCGGCCGGTAACTGGTGGCGGACACCGGTGTCCGCCACCAGTGGCCTCGTGTGAAAGGGCCCTTACTGTTTTCCTAGCAGCGGAGCGGAATGCCATGTTAATTTCAATTCCGCTCTCCGTTGTCCGCTCTCCGCTGGCCGACTCCGCGTCTAGCAAAACCCAGCTTTAACGGACATTGTCTTCTCATATCCCTCCGGACTTGGTCCCATTTCTACAACAAACCCTTGAAATAATTACCAACGTTGAGACAATAATTTAATTATATATAAAATACTGACGCTACATCATACTCTATGTGAATATACTAAGGCCATCAAATATGGTTGTCAGTACCGTCTATAAATAGTATTTGCAACTTACAGATCACTTAAAAATCAATAGCCATTGCAGGTAGCGGGTGGTGGTAAGGGCGGTGACGTGACAACCCTAACAGCCATTTAAAGAGAGAGAAACTACATTTCCTGGGGCCATTCGTTATCGGTGGCCCGTTAAGGCTATTGATGTCCCCGCCAGGCTAGGCCGTGTCAGGGTTGGGGTTAAATTGGTGTCGCACGGTGGCGTTACTTTCTATTGAAAGGGGGAATACAACACTTTGTGGCTACGTCTTGATTGGAGGAATTATCTGGAAGAAGATGACATTTCCTGGAGAAAATGCATGACAATAATTTGACATTTTCAACTATAACTTTACAAAGACGTGTATTATCTGAACGTCTGATTCCTGAATATGAATGCATAGTGTAGAATAAACGGACGATCTGTGTGGATTTGTTCAGTTTTTTTCATCCAGGATAATTTATAGGGAGTTTACCGATACAGGACATGATTTGTAATAATTTTAAAATGTCTAGAAATTATGGTCAGATAAAAACAATTGAATGTCCAGAAGACTAAAACTTTTAGTTGAGTAGACGACACTTAAGTACTCGTAAATTTCAAAATTATAAAATTTCACTTTTCCATCGGTGGACATTGTATCATAGCACTTTAAACCAGAATGGAACATGAACATAGGATGGGTAAAATTCGTCTTGTCATTTTTACTAAGATCAGCTCTGTGTGTAGCGAGGGCCGTTTTTAAAACCCCAATGATGGAGAGCGTGTTTAAGTATCGAATCGTAGAGCTTTCGACTCTAATTAGGATAATTAGAAGACAAACTTTAAATATATACCTTTCGTAGAATTCAGTTTACTACTACTTGTGATTTAAACATGGGGTCTTTATGAGGACGTCCTGAATTCTTGAAAGTACTCACTATATCCTATTCCGATCGCCATGAGCTCACAGAAATAAACCCAAGTTGTTTGGATCTAATGTTTATGATGTCTAATGATATCTACCCCAATTGTAAAAATAATAAATTTTACTTCAAACAATCATTCAATAGCAATAGTTATTTGTGTAACTAGTGGGCAAAGTGGCACTTTGCTGCACGCGAGAGCAAGGCGAGTGCGGAATGATCTCGAGTGCAGCAAAGGCCTTTTGCACTCGTGTTACACATTATATTTTTCCTACAGTCACTATAAAGAATATAAATAATTAGTCTTTCAAACACTATACAACACGTTTTTAGGTTCAGCTGGCAACACAAATAGGTGCCCTAGAGAAAGTAGTACCCGGTCCGTATCATTCCGCTTTTTTTCCTCGGCAAGAAATGTGCTCCGCGTTTTGAGAATATAGTTCCGTATGTATTTGTAATTTGAAGTGGTTTCCGCG